CTAAACCACATATAAGCAATGAATAAAGCAATAGCATTCAACAGATGGTTAACCAAAATAATCAATTACTTCATTTTACTAACTCATGACATTATTGTCAAAGTTACGTTTTACTTTCCGGTTTTATCAACATGGTTCAGAACCTGACCAAACTTATAACAGTGAAATCACATATATCATATTCACATCCTTCCAATATTAACAACAAATGAGACTCAAGCTCAAATCAAACACTTCATACTTCCAGATTGATACACATTTTAGTGCTGTATCAATAAAACACTTCTATATAAATAAGCACACATAAAAGTGATGCTAATGGAGTCCATCCCCTATCTCCTCCCAAACAAAATCCGGTTTAGAGGTCCATCCCCTAACTTCCCCTAAACCGTGGAGTACATCCCCTATCTCCTCCCACACAAAACAATATAAATGCAAATGCACATGCAATGCTCAATCAATACACGTATTTTCTGTATCAATGCCACACGTATAAATTAATGACTTAACCAATGTGATTAGTTTCAGTTATTCCTAATCCACATGCAATGCCTACAACAATCACGACTATCCTCCACCGATAGCCCAAAACAGTTATTTCTAAACTGAAAATAACCATGTCAACAATTCAATAGACAAATGATTCAAATTATCCAACTACGCCATTTAATCAATGAATTCCCCAATTCCATGAATTTAACCATCTTTTCCCAATTCCATGAATCAATTATACAAATTAATTAAATAATACAACTAAAGTTTTCCCCAAAATTTACCAAAGTATCCCCAACATATCAAAACACCAAAACTTAGAACAAAGCCTATAAAATGGAGTAGGAAATCCCTACCTCAAAGAAAACAACCCAAAAAGGTGAAGAAAGAGATGAATGCCCAAAATACCAAAGTGCTCCAAATCGTCAAATGCTCAGATTAAATGGTAGCCCTTGCCTCACTCTATCTTTTTAATGAAGGATCTAGGGTAGAAAGAAATCTAAGAAAGAAGGTGAGTAGGGAGAGAGAGAAGTCGGACCTAGGGTTTGGAATCAAAAAGAATATGAAAAAGACTGATCAAATCCCGCTGCTACGTATATAAACTGGACAGGCTCGCTCGAGCGAAGACTTGGTCGCTCAAGCGGAGCGACCAGACACAGAGAAAACTACGCTCGAGCCAAACAACCCAAAAGCTCGCTCGAGCGAAAGAAAGCTCGATCGAGCGAAGACTCAAACGCCTCAGGTCAGAAACCCAGACCAAATACCGCCGAGCGAAAGGGACTAATAGCTCGAGCGAAGGATAAACTACTCACTCGAGCGAAGAAAAGTCTCGCTCGAGCCATAGAATGCCACAGCTACCACGGTCCAAATCAAACACTACCTCTCGCTCGAGCGAACAACTCCTCGCTCGAGCGAAAGAACCGAAAAACCTGGACAGCAAACTTAGTTTTCCAAACCCAACCAACCTGAACAAACCTGCCTAACACATCCTATAATCCAAAAGAGAAAAAAAGAACAACAACAACAACCATTAATACAATGACAGAATCTACGGAACCTAAGTCCGGATACAAATAATTCACAATGAAAAAGACGCGGGGTCGCTATACAATAGAATTCCTCTCATGGTCTTTTGGCTTTGTAATGATTTTAGGCACTTTTGGTTCTAATACCATGGCTTGGGGTTTCTTTGAAAAATGCTGTAGTTGTGTGGTGATATGGAGATTTTGTCTGGAAAGGAATTCTAGAATGTTTGAGAGAAAATCAGATAATGTCAGGGCTTTGTTAGGATAGAATTGTTGTTTTGGCTTCCCTTCGGGCTTCTTGCTCCTAAAGGTCAGTGTCTTCCTAATTTCAGGGATACCCTTATTTTTTATTAGTAGAACTTTGGACAGCTGTGTGTGAATATGTAATTTTCTTTTATTGTAGAGATGGACGCTTGTGTGTGATACTCTCTGTTTTCCTCTATGTGTACTTATTTTCTTTATATGCACCAAGAGTATCCTGGAAAAATTCCCTTTAAAGTCTGATATTATTATATCACATACCCCCCATGGAAAACTGTAGAAGGCCATAAAAAATAAGAGGCTTTGCTTATAAGTTATAGCGTTTAGGCAGTGGTAAATTAGTGGTAAGTCTAGCAACATTGCCACTGATGAAATACTTTGTTCAATAATTTTCTTGGTGGAATTCTTACATTTCCTTTGCAATCCTCAGTAAATGACCTATCAAATGGACCTATCAATGAACGGCAGCCAATCTCGGTTAACATCACCCTGCAGATTGTCAAAAAAATAT